AATTAAATAACAGCAGTGGTCTTCTGAGGAAAGGATTCCTTTGATTAGTTTGTGGAAAAAACACAATCTAGCTCCTTCACACGTCACTACATCAGATAATGAATTTCCCTACAACTTGTTGTTTTCTACTGCACACAGTTGCTCAGTCACATTAATAAAGAGCTGGGAGGCATGTAGGATCTCTTGTTCCTCTTTTACAGGCATTGCTTTCTTTCTACAATCACACATGAAGAGTTTGCTTTAGACAATGTAATTAATATAATAACTGCAACAAAGTGTGTTTTATGTGAAGCACATTGTGGCCCATAGTGAGTGAATGCATGATTTTATGTTATGTTTTATGTTCAGTATTTTTCTCCAACCAGAATTTTTCTGATGATGGAAAACAGCTGTACAAATGTGCAGCATGCATGTGTATGTTTGTTAGCACTCCCTACTGCTCCCTAACAGCTGCTTTTTTCCTTCCCCGTAACCCCTGAGTTAAGCTGATAGAAAGTATACACTGATCAGGCATAACATTATGACCACCTCCTTGTTTCTATGCTCATTGTCCATTTGATCAGCTCCACTTACTATATAGGTGCACTTTGTAGTTCTACAGTTACAGACTGTAGTCCATCTGTTTCTCTGCATACTTTATTAGCCCCCTTTTGCCCTGTTCTTCAGTGGTCAGGACCCCCATGGACCCTCACAGAGCAGGTACTATTTGGGTGGTGGATCATTCTCAGCACTACGGTGACACTGATGTGGTGGTGGTGTGTTAGTGTGTGTTGCGCTGGTACGAGTGGATCAGACACAGCAGTGCTGCTGGAGTTTTTAAACACCTCAATGTCACTGCTGGACTGAGAATAGTCCACCAACCAAAAATATCCAGCCAAAGGCGTCCTGTGGGCAGCGTCCTGTGACCACTGATGAAGGACTAGAGGATGACCAACACAAACTGTGCAGCAGCAGATGAGCTATCGTCTCTGACTTTACATCTACAAGGTGGACTGACAAGGTAGGAGTGTCTAATAGAGTGGACAGTGAGTGGACACAGTGTTGAAAAACTCCAGCAGCACTGCTGTTTCTGATCCACTTAGACCAGCGCAACACACACTAACACCCCACCACCACTTCAGTGTTACTATAGTGCTGAGAATGATCCAACACTCAAATAATACCTGTTCTGTGGTGGTCCTGTGTGGGTCCTGACCACTGAAGAACAGGGTAAAAGGGGGCTAACAAAGTATGCAGAGAAACAGATGAACTACAGTCTGTAATTGTAGAACTACAAAGTGCACCTATATAGTAAGTGGAGCTGATAAAATGGACAATGAGCATAGAAACAAAGAGGTGGTCATAATGTTATGCCTGATGGGTGTATATTGTAACATCAAACCTCTTAACTCATTTATGTACACAGTACTGTGCAAAATCAGAGACCACCCTTTATTTATTTAATTTCTAAGTGAAAATGTCTACTAAGTGAAGGTTACTCATTTTCCAGGAGATATTTCTGAGGAGATTAGATAGATGATAATTCACCTGCATAAGAAAGGGGAAAGACAAAGGAAAAAATACAGGAGTTTCCAAAACTGGAGTTTTAAATAGTTATAGAAAAATGGGACTCCCAGCAACCATGCAATACCTGGCAGACCACCAAAACTATCACCGTCAGATAAAGAGTATCTTTGAGAGATCGGTAACAATCAAGCCCCGCTCTTGCTTCAAATCTGAAAAATCCACAGGTGTTTCTGTTCATCCTTCCACTGTGAGGAGACAACTCAACACTGTGAGACAGAAAGGATGTGTAGCTGTCAAGAAGCCCTTACTAAGAAAAGGAAACAGACATAAAAGAAGAAAATTCGCACAACAACAAAACATCTAAGATGTGAAGTACAATTTTATTGGGAGTACTTTGATGGTCAGAAACAGGAAATGCAACCAACGTTTAAGGCTGAACTCTGGAGGTGTGGACACATATCACTGCAGATTTCTTTGAAAACCTATATCTCTGACCTTTGCACAATACTGCACCTTTTATTGCCAACATTTCATGGTGAATGGACCAATAGAAATACTCAAATATGACTTGGGTTAAAAATTAGCTATATTACCAAACAATAAAATAAAGAAAGATTCTAGCGTTTTCTAGAAAGCAACCACTGCACCAAGGGTTATCAGAATAAACTGGGGAGCGTCAGCCAAGTGTGCTAACGCAGAGCAGTCTGAGTGCAGCAGAAGTCTTCAGCGTTCCGGCTGCCAGGCAGTATCTGTGGTTATTAGGGCCACCTCAGCAGCTCAGAGTCGACTCTCTCTTAATGGGCCACTGTGAAGATGAGGGCCGTGAAATAAGCCCCAGCTTCCTGTCTCCTCTCTGTCTGCTGCACTTATCTCTGAGAGACGTCGCCTCCAGCTCCAGTTTACTAATCTCTATGCTCATTCTGGAGGTTCTTAAGCATTTACAATATTTATAATTTGGTGTTTTCACCAGGGCTTGATACGAAGGGGGATGCAGGCTGAGTGTCCCCCCCGTTCAAAAATAACGACAAAAATCATCTTCTTTATGAAACTGCCATCCATGCTTCCCCTCCCCTTTGGATTAATGCCATTATGTGATATCACCTAAGGTGTCAACACTATGTGTCCAAAAGTATCCAGACACACTTTTAATTAGTCAATTCAGCTACTTTAAGGTGCACCCATTACTGACAACAGTGTTCAATTGTGCAAACACAGCTTGTATAATCATCATTGTATAAGCACTGCCAATAGAATTGGACACTCTGGAGCAGCCATGGCCTGAAGTCACCATGCCCAATGCCAAGTGTCAGCTAAAGGGGTATAAAGCCCTCCAGCATTGGACTGTGCAGCAATGGAGCTGCATTCTCTGATGTAATGGAGCATCATTTAACAGCTCAGGGATGAGCTGGAGTGGTGTTTGTGGTCCGGATCTAATCATCCAACATCAGTATCTGACCTCACTAAAGCCCTTGTGGCCAAATGCAATCAAATCCTCACAGCAACTTTACAGCACTGAGTGTAAAGTCTTCCCATATGAGTAGAGATTGTTACTGCTGCAAGGGGGGGGGGCAAACTCTCTATAAATATCCCTAATTTCAGAAGAAATGCTGGAGGAGGAGGTGTTTACAAACTTTTGGATATATAATGGGTATCTGAATTTCATTTACAATTTTTTGATGCACAAAATGTACCAAATGTAATAAAAAGAATCTAAGAAAGAATCTAAGACTGGCTTTAAATTATAATAAGTAAATATATATAAATAAAAGTATATAAAAAATAAAATAAAAAGTCTGTTTAGGCAATGAAATTAAAGTGTAAAAATCAGGAAAAATGGAGATACACATTTTTCTTTGGACAGTGACGATATGGAAATTCAGTGGTCAAAAATGGCCCGGTTTGAAATCAGTTTTTGTGATGATGTAGGAATCAAGACATTTACATATATTTGCCTATTCAGACCTCAGCAGTTTAGCCCCTTGTTTCAGTCTGGACTGCTTTTTAAATGAAGTGCAACACAGGGCAGCCAATCAGAGCAGAGGCCATTTACATTAATCAGTCTCAAAGGCACAGTGCCAAAAACAGCTGTTTTAATTCTAGGAGATTAAGAGAGGTTTGGGCATGTAAAATGAATTATTTTTACAATGACTATTCTTGGTAACTAAAACCACTCAAATGTCACAAGTGGATTTTAGGGAAAACGTAAAATGCAAGAAATATTTAGGGCTCTTTGAAAATGAGAAACTGTGTTTTCTTCTCTTTTTACTCTCTTTTGATGAGTTTCTGGCATCATTGATTAGTAGTTTGAGAGAAAGATGGGGAATTGAAGGGAGGGCTGTTGCCATGGGTGAAGCTGATATATACCCAATAATCCATAATTTAGCCGCCTGCCACAGTTAATTAGTATCTAACCACTTTCAGCTGTGGACTAATCAATAATGTAAACAGCACCTAAATGAATGACTCAGAACTACAGCTGGCAGATATTGACACAAATCTGAATGAATATTCTTTTGTTTGTTTTTTGTTTTCCACAAAAGCAGAGCTACGTGAAAAGTGGAACTTTGCTGTTTTTCTGTCCCACCGCTGACCCTTACAAAGCTCCCCTGTGTGTTATGCTTCAAGGAACTCAAAGCTTTGAGGCTATTTTTCTACATTTTGCCACGAGCTACAAGCTACTAGAAGTACAAAATACTGTCATGACCAGTGTCGCAAAGAATGTCCAACTTCCATCAAGAATATGCTGTTGATATTTGAAAGCTTTCGTTACAAAGGCATTATAGACCACTTTCATGATTTTTTGAAAATCATTTTTTCCCCTATATGTTGTTGGGAGTGCTTTACATGCAATAAATATCAATACTATATTAGGATTAATGCTACCTAGTTTTAGACAAACGAATGTTTTTTCCATTGTTAGTTGCTATTTTTTTAAAAACAACTTTTTATAACCAAAATTGTTTCAAACAGATACATAGTATTTCGGGACGAAACTCTTAATTTCATGTTGAATGACACAGTTTACAGTTAAACTAAGTAATAATAATTTGAATGCAAAGATAAAGTCCATTCATTTTTAAGAAAGAATTAAACAAATATTCAGTTTTGCATGCACGCCACCAAAGCAGCCCACGCTACTGGCAGTGGTATCACATATCACTCCAACATTGTGGTGCTGAAAATCTGCCATCATCATTTTATTCTTTTTCTACTCATTACCTTCCTATGTTATAATATGGGGCTTTGCATGTTTTATTCTTTCATCGTGATAATCTACTGTGCTTGTTCTCCTCGATATAAAGAACAGTATATTGAGTGAAAGTGGACTAAAAGCTTATGGGCTTAAGGACTTTCCTGACGAGTTTATGCTTATTTCACTTCATGAAATAATGGTGGGTCTCAAGACAAGTACTGCCTCTACTTGCTACCTCTGGGTTCTGGCATGAAAAGCTTACATACATATACACATCCAAACACACTGTAAAGGACAACCATTCCAACAGCTGAGATAGACACTCATTTATTCATTAAAACAGAGTGGGTTGATCTTTTTTTCTCAAAATACAGTAGTTGAACTCACTGACAAAATCTGAGATGAGTCAAGGAGTAACTTCACACTTAACTCTCACATCTGCTCACACACACTCAAACACACACACACATTGTTAAGAACAGTCAGTGTATGGCACAGATGTACTCAGCAAGGTCTTGGGGCAGCACTCTTGGCACATTAAGAGCACTGAGACTGCATTAACTCTAACTTTATGGCACTTGTTTTACAGCTGTGTGCATCTACAGTAGCATACAGTGGAAATAGTACTGTGGTACAGAGATGAATCGACTGTACAAGGAGTTCAAGAGGAAACTCCACACTAGGTACAATATCTATGGTACAGGAAGCATTAAAGCCCCAGGGAACCTAAATCTGTGTTTACATATACAAAGAATGTCCTATGAATGACTTTCCAAAATCCCCCAAATTTTCCTCTTTCAGCGTAAACTGGGCAGCCAATCTTGGGTCATGCACACGAAAGCAGTATCCTCACCAATCATAAGGCTGGTGTGGTTTGACAAAACTGTGTGCCCCTATGGTCTCTCGGCGTTTGAGTCGGAGGAACTTACAGAGCGAAAGCTAACAACAAAGCAAAAAATAACCTAGTATGCATAAATGAGCTATTAAGCAATCTGTTTTCCTGTTGCTTGACAGTGCATTCATTCATCTGTTCGCTTGTTCAACGGCCACGCCAGCATTCCCGGATACATATCCAGCAGTGAAGTGAATAAGAACCTTAACGTCTTTAAACTGTTCCTGTATAAAAGCCGGATAATGTGTTTAGTGAATCACGGACACAGCAGGGAGAGTCTACAACACCACCTGCATACATAGAGCCTGTTTCACTCTTCACACTGGCTGCTTCAGTGGCATAGCAGGATGGCCGTGCTGGACAGAGGGGTGTGAATTATAGGTGTTCATCACAATATAAAGAACATGTACAGACAGTTCTCAATAGGTCAGATAGATAGGTCTGATTATTGATTTTTAAGCTGTTTGGTTATATTTCTATCTTGTTATTTTTATTTATTAGTTCCCTGGGACTTTAAATACAATAAATAAGGAGTCAGGCTACATCTGAAACAAGTGTTTATGATGGATGTTCAAAAGAGGGAAGTGTTCTTGGAGAATGTGCTCAAGTACTTGGACAAACAAGGTGACATCAATCACTCAAAACCTGGCCATGTGTCCAGCAGCGACACTGATATCTACATGGCACTAACAGACTGACTCTATAAGACATGACTGACGCATCTATGAAACAGGGACAGTCCCTGCGGTAACTGCTGCTATTTATTTCTAACAGTACAGATTGGATGAAATTCTGTAACGAAAAACTGCAACTGCTGAACAGTATCTGAGTGTGGGTGGTTCTCACACATGCTATAGGGAAGCAGTGCAGGATCTACAGACAGTCAGAATATAGGGGCAGTGGCTGTGAAATTGACAGTAGCTATGAAATGACTATATGAATGTGGTAAGAGCCATCATAGCAGTACAACAGATAAAATAGGATTAGGTGGACTTTTACTATAGAAAAGTAATAATTTTGGGTATAATATTGTTGCAGAAGCAGAATGATGGTAATGAAAGGGGGTAATATTTATAACAGGTAAGCAATGGGTCTGATAGAGAAGCAAAGGGGCCAACTGTTACAATGGAAGTGACTGGTGCTATTAACCCCATAAATTAAGTTATGGGGCTAATAAATAAGAAAAAGTCAAGCATTATGAAAGGTATAAAAGTTATGAGAGTAGAGAAAAGGAAGATAGTCACTAGCATCAGCTCTTCTAGAGAGGGAGATGCATTGATAGAAAGGGGAAAGAGGATATTTCAGAATCACTGAAGAGACTGTAGGAAATGAGAAGTTCCACTGTGTTTGAGGACAGGGTCCAAAATTAGAACATCTTTTGGTCTCTGTATGTTTTAGGGGGACAATCCTGTATCCTAATTCTTTCTCTCAGGTGTTTGAAATATACAGTTGTGAAATAAGGTGGCTCTTCTAGAATATTTCAGTATTGTGTAATGGAGCTGCATAATCAATATCTGGGGTGATTCAGTGCTATAACTGAGGAATTGGGGGCAGATTTAAGGAATCCAGTGCGTTGTGGTAAAGCTCTCTCAAAGCCTTCAGCAACAATAACCGGCAAAACATCTGATTAAAGAGATGAGGTAACGGCTCCTAAAGAGTGAGAGAAGGGGGTGTAGAGGGAGAAATAGAGAAGAGGAAAAAAGAGAAAGAGACACAGAGGTAAGGCAGATGGGAAGTGGAAGAGAGTGGGAGACAGGGGGAGAGGAAGAGAAATGAATAGAGGGTAAGAGGTTAATGACACTGAGCACTGATCTGAACTCCCTGTGAACTATTTTAATTTTCATCAATCAATGTTTCCATGCTACACATACTGTATCTTACCCCAAGCACATGAACTCTGTTGTAGTAAGAACTGAAGTCTTTACTGAGAGACACCAGGAATCTGCAGACCTGAACGAGACAACAGATACACATATTAGGATCGGTAATAATTATGTTAATTTGCTAATAAATGTTCACTGAAAATATGCTTTAAAATGCACTACAATCCATTTTGATTCTAATTAAACAGAACTGGCCCTTGGCAAAGTAAGGATGAAGGAGCCTAAAATATTTAAATGTAATGATGTAAGATCAGAATTTTCTAGGCTATGGTCTTCTCTGTGGTTCTTTATGGACGTAAAGCTCAACAATAAAAAGCAGAACAGGAAATATCATAACACCTCTGAACTTTAGTGCAAGTGACTAAGTAGAGTATGTAACAGCAAAGAAAAATAATGGATCCTTGACCAAATCAAGCCTCACCTATCACTCAACAGCCAGATAACCAAAGTGAAATCTTAATTTGAACATAATATGAGAAGAAACAATTCATGGGAAAGATATTATGCTTGGAAAAGTTGAAGGTAACAGAGAGGAAGACGACCAGCTACAAGATGAATGGAGACAATCAGAGGAATCATTAACAAACCATTAAGAAGCCTTAAACAGAAGAACATCATATTCTAGAGAATCACTATCCATATCTGGAGTTGGAACAGACTTGCCGGCATAACAATAATAATGAAGGCAACAATACTTTGCAGAGTGACAAGAAAAAGAGTAAAATTGTTAGAGTGCTTGTTATATCTCTATAATGATATTCTTTGATAAGTCTGAAATGTAAATTTTTCTGTAATATTCAGGTACACATATCAACCGTCATAAGTAAAACTTCATAAGTAAATAGAAAATTGAGAACATGAAAATATTCCCATAACACAAAGTATATTTAAATAACAAGTACTTTTTACATTAATTAGGTTTACATACTGTGATTTAAATAACATTCTAAGAAGCAATCATTCTTCAAATATCACTTCTTCAACTTACACAGTAAAATTTCATAACTGCAAATGAAAAAAGTGTTTGTATAACAAACACACAGAAATTATACATCTAGTAGCATGTCATGAATTAGGATTTTAATCAGTCCTACAAGCACACACCAACAGAAAAACACACCTGTTCGGTTCTTAAATTAACTCTGGCTCCTCCCCCCTCAAGCTCCAGGGCCTGTGCTGATTGGTCCAGAAGCTCTGAGAATGGAATGAGGTAATTGAAGAGAAGAAGCCACTCCCCCTGTCGGAGAGAAGGTTAAACTGTGAAGTCTGCGTGACAGCACATTTTAATTTATGATTTACTTGTTTATGACATCTATATCTGTAGCACACTGAAGTACCTCCTCTTTCAGAGCAGAAAAGTCCAACTCTGTGCCTGCAGGGACTTCTGGGTAGAGACCTGGACAACAGTCAGGACAGAGGCAAACTTTAGTTCAGTACAACTTCAGTTTCAAGATTGATTTATTGATTTATTTGATTGCACATAACTACTCAATAGCTTTATGCTGAATTAAAAACTGTACAAGAGATTAACCTTAATTTATCCAACCTGAATCAACCTTTTAGAGACAGACAGTCCAGAGACCAACCTCCATTTCATGTCCAGTCAAAATTACCATTAAGTACAAGTTATTCAAAAAATCTCAACAACAACTGCTCTATATTCTTTGCACTGTACTCAATGTAGCACCGTGTGGACACACTACACTGCATTTCTCTCTCAACACATCTGCACTGAAAAGAAATGACAAAGTTGACTCTGACTTTGACATCATAATATAAAATGCTCAGTAAAGTTAGTGTCCACCCTTTGCCTTTATTACAGCCACCATTCTTTTCAGAGACTTTAATTTTTTTCCATTTTGCTTTTCATTTTTATTTCAGGGATATTTTTCCACACCTCTGAAGTTCAGTCTTGAGAGAGTTGGTTGCATTTTCTGCTTCTTGTGACCCAAGCAACCTCAATTACAAATCTCAAATGTCCAGTTTGAGTGTTCTAGTGTACGTTTTCTTCTTTTCTGTCTATTTAAATTTCTCAGTAACAGCTTCTTGACACCTGTGGACTGCTTTAGATCTGAAGCAAGAGTGGAGCTTGATTTTCTTCTCTCGCTCAAAGACAAAAGCTTTAAATACTGTTTATCTGATGGGGAGAGTTTTGGTGGTCTACTACCTCGATGGTTTGGTGGTTTCTCCAGAAAACTTAATAGCTTGGCTTTTAAAAATGAATAAAAATGAATAACATTGCTTTTTTGACTGGAAATTAAATAAATGAAATGACAATGCTGGTGTTACATACAAATAAGTGTGTGTATGTGTGTGTATGTGTGTGTGTGTGTGTGTGTGTGTGTCACCTTGCTCTACACCCTTCTCGTAGCTGCTGAACAAAGTGTGAAGTCTAGCACAGTTGTACATAACAAACACTCCTCCCCTGGGGCCCTTTGTGGATACACCTCCTTCACGCTGCACGTCAAGAGTGACCTAAAATAAAGAGATCAATCATCACTGACACAACATCCATAAACAAACAGATACAGACAAATATAGATATCAAACACTATTTTTAATCACTTGACTAATATATGCATAATGACAGCACATAATATCGACCAACTGGATCGAACATACATACACACACACACACACACACACACACACACACACACCTCTTATGCGTGCAGACATACAGTATTGTGCAGAAATCTAACAGATATTAGGAACCAAACCTGTGTTTTCTAACTGTACTCTTCCAACCAAGATATTAATTACTTTTTAAAAACAAAACTTCTTCGTACCTTCTGCTGTATTTACATTTATTTGTATTTATTCTAATATTATATAGTGTTTAAATGGTAAATTAATTTTTCTTGAGTGCAGAAGACTTTAGCACAGTACTGTACATGAATATGTGCTCAAACACACTCACTGGGCTTGTGTGTACAGTAGAAAGCAGCTCAAACCGAACTGTGGCACAGGTCATGACCCTGATGATGTCCTCCCAAGTCTGCCCTAAAATGAAAAGAGAAAACAACAGAGCTGTCAGTATCTATGACTCAACACACGCTTGGTATCTCTCTCACACAAATGACAGAATTCACTTTCTTCCTGACCATGCAGCCATACACTGCACTGACCTGACAAGCCCCTTACCCTCTACTTGATCTCCATACTTCATTTCCGAAGCCTCCTTCATCTGAGCTCTTCTTAACCTGAAGAAAAGACACAAACACACATTTAGGACAACTGCTGTATTATGAACACAGTGAAGTTAAATCTTACTAGTTACTGTAAATACCTGACCTTTAAATGCACCATTAAATCTAAGGGCTATTGGACTAGAATATTATTAGAAATACTTGGCCAAACAAATCAGCACATACTTTACTGAACATTACTGTAATTGATTATAATTTATTATAACATGCCAAAATCTATGCATCTGAAACAACACCTTTAGGGTGCAATTTTATGCCCCTTTTACAACCTAGCATACCTAGGTATGCTGTCTGTATATGAAGTATGTATATGGGATGTAATTATATGACGCATGTAAGAATATATACACATATTATGTATAATATATACACTTACTGTAGATATTGAGCTGAACTCATCTGAGAGCCAGGAGTCTTTACTGGACCACATATTACCAGCCTCTGAGAGAGAGAGAGAGAAAGAGAGAGCGAGAAATCACTCAATCATTCCCAAATTGATGCAAGATGGAGTTCACAAATCCTAATCATTGTCCTAAATCCAGAATTCTCAACTCCTATTAATTTCAAGGGATGCATCGATATTGGAATTGTGGGCTAATCATATATTTTTCATGTAAATATCTGCTATTGTCAATGCGCAGACATTTTAAAAAATGTAGACATTTTCATGAGAAGTTCATGGGTAACCATTATAGAGCAATTTAACATTTATTGGTATAGGTATACAAATGCAGTAAAATATTTTAGTGTCACCTAAACATTCTGCTCTTCTGGAGTACAATAAGTATGTCATTTAATATCCGTTTGAAACATTGGTCAAATCTAAACTTCTGTCTGATGCTGATAATTTTTTAAGCAATTACCTGCTGATACTAATGTGATTCTGATACCATCCTGTATCCCTATTTTTCAAAATGTTTAAGATATTTTGAGCTAAAGTCTAAAAGCATTGCAGAATTCATTCTGATTTTACTGTTGATGATCTATATTATTATTTTAAAATAAGTCAAACTTTTTACTGTTTCAGTCTATGAGAGAGACGTATAAGTCTGTAAGTTCTATGGAGCAGCGATATAAGTTACACTTTGTATCTGTGTATTTTATGAACTACAGAAAACCAAAGCTAAACATTACTACTTAACTAACTTAGCTGTTAGCTAGTCGTCTAGGGAAAACGCAAAAAAGCTAAGGCCTGTCCGCAACATGAACCACTGTCCCTATGTGATAATGTCACGTAAAGTACGTGTTTGGCTTAGCTTGGGGAGCCGAAGAGAGTGGTTTCATTAGTCTAGAACCCTTTCATTAGTCACAGGTAAGTGATGTCATCTGAGCTCCCTTGGAAAAATCAGTGTCTATCCCTAACCATGTGACCTAACTCTCCTAACATGTGCATCATCATGGAATGCATTTTTTGATTGATGAGGTCAGGCACGTCACTATTTTGTTTCACAACAGTCACTCAATATAGTTTATGTTGCTGTAATTAAGATAACGCAGTGTATTCAATCTGCTCCTAGAATCCTAAGCTAGTTCATTATTGTTTGTAGAGAGTGGCCTTATTTGAAAAGAAAAAAATAAAAAAATAAATAAATAAATAAAAAATAGTTCGGGCAATTGCAAAAAAAAAAGAAAAAAAAAAGAAAAAAAAAAAGGTCAGGCAATAGCACTCGTTGCCCCCCCCCACCATATTCCACAGTGTTTGTGAGAGTATGTAAGACAGGATGATAATAACTGGTCACTGTGCGTGACTGTACAGTTGCGTGACAGACCTGTGTTGCCGTGGTGCCAGCCGCTCTCCACAGCATGGCTGTCTGCTGCTGGCGGAACTCATCCTGACAGGATGTGACATGCAGGACTGTTGCCATCGACGCCTGCAGGACAGACAGTAAATAACACATTTTCACTCGGATTACTGGGGCAAAAAGAGAGCGAACAGCTCTACACGTCAAAACAATTACAAGAACACTGATCAATAAACAGTTTCTGCCTTTCATATCCTAATGACCATAATAACACAGAGGGGATCTGATTGCAAATCAATACATACTGGAGAAAGAGAGGTAGAAATATGTCTAAAGAAATGCTGTTTCTAAAGCAATATGTAAGAGTCTGATAGTCCAGGTGCCTGAGACTGGGAACTAGGCTGTGCGGGAAAAGATGATGAACTGCAGTGCTGTGGTGAACTTGAGGTAAACATAGATGATGATGTCATCTGTTTAAGACTCACAGGAAAATCTTCTATAGCTCTGTCCAGCTGAGCCAGATGACACAATGCTTCTCTCTGCACTGTAGAGAGGGATGAGAAGAGCAAGAGACAGAGAACGAAAGCGAGAGAGAGGCTGATCATAGCAATAATAAACAAGCAGTTACAGCTGATAATAGAACAAAATAAAATGAGATTTTTAAAGCAACACAAACACGAGGGATGCACGGATAAGGAAGTTGTGGACAAGTTCCAATAACTGATAACTTGTTGTGGGCAATGATGGTAACAATAACTAATTATTTCTGAAACAGGTTCACAATATAATCCATATGAAGGCCAGTGAGTGTAAGACTCTATAAAACTCTAATAACTGAGCAATGATTAATTTTACATAGCTAAATCAGATATGACAGTAATTGTACATGATCACATCTAGCAGACACTCTTATCGGGAGAAACTTAAAGTAGTGGGTTAATGTAATGCCAGGAGCATAACCTAAAAAAACATATTGGCATAGTAATGGCTTTCCTGTCTGGACGGACAATCGAACCTCTGATCCTGCATGTAGCAGAGCATGTGAGAGGAGCACAGTAAAAGTGGAGCATGAAGTGAATTGGCATGTTTTGCCCAGAGCAGCTTTTAAGAAAGAAGGTGGGCTGTGTTCTTTCTTGTGCAGGTTGCTCCAATACTGTTCTATCCCAAGAACGTAACACATGTTAGTGACCCATAATATAAATGAATAGTTTGTTTGTGGGGCAAGCATGTTATCCACTACTTAACCATTCATAATGCTGTATTTGCACTATCACAGTAAACCGACGATGACAAACCGGGTGATCCATGTCAACAGAGCAGCAATGGAACATTTTGCCACCGCAAGCAGCATCAGCAGTGTACTGCAGAGGTCAGTGGAACGTTTTGTTAAGAGTTCAGCTTTTACCAACTTAAGCCAAAGTGGTGGAATAGGACAAATGTTGATTTTCCAGAAACACAGAAGCTTAACAACTGCAGCTAAAGTCCAGACATACTTCTCTGTGTATGATAAATGCCAAAAACACAAAACATGACAGACTGAGAAACATCCATGTGTGCTCAAAACACTTTATAAGATAGAAAGCAACGCAGCATCACACTTCCTCCAATTAAAAAAAGCCTTGAACTTAAAATAACATTCTGTATACCACATAAAGTACTAGTATATGCTACATATAGCATCCAGTATGTGACAATTACAATCATGTACCCTCCATCTTAATATAAGATCACATCCGGTGATTATCTCAGTGGTTACATCCTGCTGAAATGACTGTGTTTCATTATGAGATGCCACATATTACAAAGAAAGCTCTGGCTGCATATTGGCATATTTGACCAGAGCAGCGGGGAAGATTGGCGTATTGTACTAGACAAATTCATTTTTGTAACATACTGCATAATATTTACTACTTTTAAGCACAATCAGTTTATGAGCAGTAGACTATTCAAAACAGAACCTTGGTCTTACCAGAAAGAAACAATGCCATCTTGTGAATTAATGCAGAAATGCATTCTGGTACTCTATTGGTCTAATAATGGGCACATTAATTAAATATCAATACATTAGTATTTGGGTCTATGTGTATCGTGACAATTTTAACCCCGAAATACTGTGATATTATACAGTATTTGTTTCCCCCCAACCCTACTATATATGCAAGAGCAAGAACAGGCGGCAAGTTACCATCTGTAATTATGGGCTCAAATTACAATATTTAGCAGTTAAATAAATATGATGGCCTTCAATATTATGTGCACTCCTCATAAACACACATGAAATAAGGGGTCCTACTGCACAGTAAATAATAAATTATCTGTCTACACATGTATAAACACAGCCCCCTCTATATACACATATAAACACAAACAAAAAGCCTCACCTGTACAGGTGCCTAGACTGGGGTCATAGCCGTGCAGCTCCACCTCCTCCATGACTCGCTTAAGGTTTATCCTAACCTCGTCACTCATCCCTCCATCCCCTCCCTCCATCTCCTCCCCTCTGCTCCCCCTCTTCCCTCTCTCCTTCTCTCGCTCTCTGTAGGTACAGTTCTCAAGGGTGTTCCTTATCTTCTCCTCTCTCTCCTCGTTGGTCCAGCTAACGGACACAGCTGGCCAATCAATGCCCAGCGTTCTGAGGCAGTTGATGATATCACTGTCCTCGGGTAAGGCAGGACAGAAGGAGACAGAGTACCTGGGAAAGAGAGATTTACACACAATTATACATTATACACACAGTCACTAATCCAGTCTCTTATGAGCTCACGCATACCCTTGTCTCCTGAGCAGGGCTCCTGTGTGGTCAGCGATGAGAATGGTGCGGAGCTGCCCCAGTGTGAGACTGTCTGGAGAAGGAGGAGCTTGTTTGGCATGTAGTGCAGGACAGTTAATCAGGACACATCCCTGTCTCTGAGCCGCAGGCCTCAGGTACGCGGCCATTCCACACAGAACCCCTCTGAAAGCTGCACAGCGGTCCACAGAAACACGCAGTCCCTCCGCCGTCACCTCACAACCTGCTACCGGCAACACACCATTTCCCCGTTGAGAGAGGATCCGACTGAGAACCGCGGAAGGAACCTGCACACACAAACACAAAGAGATGTCAAATAGTCAAACATACACAAACGTTCCATGAGCACCCATTCTAGAATATGAATGCTGCTGCTACACCGAAACCCAAATGTCATAACAAGATTTTACATGATGCATTGCTAAAAAGCCAGATGTCCCTTACTTTCAAAGTAGAACTTGTTTATTTGATTCATGTTATTTAAACAGCCAACCACGTTTTCATTTAGGAGTATAAATGCCAGAACGTACTCTCTGCTAGTGTGTATTCTACAAGCTCTTAGCCCACACAGTGTGAAATGTGGGTTGAAAAAACGCCTACTAAAAACTGACCAAAAAATCAGAGACTGGCCAATTCAGATGTCATCGAAATCAGAATCAGCCATAAAAAAATCATAATCAGTCCCTCCCTACTGTACACATACATGAATGCTTGCACTCACAAAGATGTCATATACCCACTCATACACATTTACACATATATGAATGCACACACACATATTCATATACTGATGCACATTTGTACATCCCCACACACATAAACACAAATGCACACACAAATATATACTTACACGGCAGTAAAGGTTATTAGGTTACGGAAATATGGACATAATTGTTGTTAAAGGCTACTTTTCGCGTTATAACATCATCATATGTCACTGCATTGATTACACCACGAACTGTTGGGTTATTCTGACCCAAATCTCCGCGGCCAGTGAAGAGTTAATAACATTTGCCGCAGGGTTCAAACGTTTGGTCAATAAAGGCAATGTCAACTGTCTAGAACAGGGTTCTACCATCCCACAGCATTACGAACAGCTCGGTTTTAGATAACGAATGAAAGTTAGCGCAAATATAATTACAAATGCACATGAAACAGCTATTTCGAGCCGCCTGTTGTGTTCTCTCAGCCCCAGCATGCCACAACACCACACCATGCCGTCTCCATCTGCTCACTGTAGCTACCGCTAGCTCCAGCGAAACTAAATCTGCAGCAGGGGCCATGGCTTCAACATGTCTTCACAAACCCTCACCTGTCCGTGCGCGTACAGTGTGGCCAGGACCGTGTTGGGCGCCAAGAAGTCTCGGTTTCTCAGGTTTTTGGCGCTGCTCTCTTTGAACCAGAGCTTGTCGCGCTCATTGGCGCTCCTCTCCCCGCTGTCAGCGCGCTCGGCGTCGGCTTCGTTCTCCACGTCCCTCCGCAGAGCGAACCGCAGCGCTCTCACTGTTGAGGCGACCCGAAACGGGGACGTTTCCTCGGTCTCCATCGTGCAGCTGTCTCACGGCGTAAACATCACCACCGTGGAGGCTCGACCCCTGGATATTCTTAATTATATAGCCGATGTCTCTGATACACTCCTGCTGAGCGCGTTCGTTCAACGCGTCGCTTGCTTACACACCCGGAACTTTAGCGTGACGCAAATGTTTCTGTGGTGCTAAGTTCTCTGTAGGACATCGGCTTTAGAAGGACGCCATCGTAAGCGTGGCAAATTTTTAATGGAGGCGGTTAAAGAACTGAAAGAGAAAGCGACGCGGAACTTGTTAAACTTCTTTAACCATTGTTTGAAATCGTAAATAATGCGTTCACTAAAATAACAAAGTGTTTAATTGAGACTTGTTTTTAGTCGAGTCAAAGAAAAATGTTTGACCTTATCTAATTAGGCGGTGCTGTGTGGGCTTAGAGAGGCCTGCTTCAGCACCTCGCTTTTGAATTATGTCACTGTTAAGTGTTTAAAGAGGAATTCTACTAGTTTTTCAAAATTTTTACACGATGCAGTCATTGAAAGGTAAATAAAATCATTCAGAGTATGTTAATGTGAAATGGTGCGTTAAAGAGAAACTCACTGAGTCAGATTTCTTTACAGTGGAACCAAGGGTCTGGATGTCTACAACACAAATAGCCATTTTATTTACTATCCACAATGAACAGCGGGCCTACACTTGTCTTCAAGTTTTATATGGATGTTAATAATGGTAAAATAGAGGTAAATCTGAGAAAAATAACACTTTTGGGGGGACTATTTTGACTTACAATGCTGTGCATGTACCTCTCAGCCATGAATAGGCTAGATTTATAAAGTACATTTAGGGCTTATCTCAAAACTATTGTAATGTCCAATGTCTCAGGCATCAGGCAGCATATTGATAACTGTTTTGTGTTTTTCTGTGAGGCATGTAACACTTTATATAAACACCTCTTTGACTCAGTAAGTGTCTTTAGAGTAATGCTTTTTGCATCAAATCACTCTGAATGACTGTTTACATCTTAATGATTCAACTAGGCAGAGAATTTGAAAAATCAGTGGAAAGTGGAAAAAATTGCATACGATGTCTAGAGTGAACCCATCTGATCCCTGATCTATAACAGGTACACTACATGTAAAAAAAGTACCCAGACATCCCTCCTAAAGAGTAAATATAGCTACTTTAAGGTGCACCCAATGCTGACACAGGTGCTCAGTTGCGCTCATACAGCTTCTGTAATCTCCACAGAAGACCATTGCTAATGGAATGAGACTCTCTGGAGCAGCTGCACATGAGATTAATGTTACCAGCATCAGCGAGAGGGTTATGAAGGTCCCCAGCATTGGGCTGTGAAGCAGTGCTCTCTGGAGGGATGGAGCAACATTCAGAACCTTTGGGGTGAGCTGGAGTGGAGTTTGTGATCCATAATTAATCATCAAACATCAGTACCTGACCTCACTAATGCTTCTTTGGCTAAATGCACTCAAATCTTTACAGCAACAGTGTAAAGCCTTCCCAGAAAAGTAGAGACTGTTACTGCAGCAAAGGGGGAACAAACTCTACTTAATACCTATAGATTTCTAAGAAATTACTGGATTAGCAGATATCTATAAACTTTCATATGATAATGTACATTGTTGTGAGTATAGTCTGTATATAGCAGAGGATCATGGCTCCAGGACAGTTCAGTCTATATATAAATGTATGTCGCTGCTGTTGGACCAAAGCTTAACATCTCCAAAATGATAACTTTACTGGAGAAGGAAAAAATCTACTTTACTTTTAATATAAATCAATGTAACCAGACTTTTTTCTCCAAGTAATTGTGGGTCATTTCTTTTGGTCCATTCATTGTGAATTTTACACACAACGTAAAGGGCAGCAGGAAATGGAGACACAAGGTTTTGTTCCGACAAAGTGATATATTTATATTTGCTGTTGAGCAGAGATAACGGATTACTCACATGATAAAGTAAGAGTGTGTTGGTGATACATGAAATGAAAAGACAAAGTGAATAGTTGGTTCTGCATTATTTATTGAGCAACAGAGGTACAACAAACATTCAGACAGAACGGCCCAGTCATTATTTTCTTACTAGATTTTTCTTTTATTACTAGACTTGTTATTGTTACAGTCGGGACGGTGGACATCCGGTAGATTTTGATGTCACTTTTGGCTGACACGAAGTTCCCGGTGGCGAACAGTAATTCTGGCAATCCGGGAGAAAACGTGTCATTCTACAGCAACATCAAGACACATAACAGGCATTAATAAACTTGTACTCTATTTAAAGGTACAGTTAGTGACATTGTCACTTTTTCCTAGGCATATATTCTAGCTGGGGGAAAACGTGCATTCTACATTGACATCAAGACCATTTCTTGTTAAGGGAATGTAAAATGAGCAACTTATGAAGTACCAGGCATTATCAAATCAGAATTTTCTGCATTTAAAGGTACAATAAGTGACATTTTCACATAATCTTGCAGTCCAGAAGAAAATGTGTCACTCTAAGCCAACATCATGACCATTTCTTTTTAAGGAAGTGTACAATTAACGTGAAGTAACAAACACTGATTTTTTTCTATATTTAAAGGTAAAATTTATGAAAATTTCACTTTCTTCTAGGCATATATGTACCAACTTAAAAGATGGCCACATTGCATATTATGGCTATTGAAACAGGCTTAGTAAAGGAAATTCAATGTTGACCTTACCATTTCTGACATTGTGGACTTCTACAATTAGCATATTCATTTCACAATTAGACCTATTCTTTATCTAACACTTAATATGTAATATGTACACATTCTACACATAACAAACACATAACAATATTTATTCATTCATTTTTGATATGAAAAGTTGTTTCAGTGGAAATAAATTGAAATAAATGTATTTATTGTACCTTTAAAGGCACTCAAACCTATTGGTTATTTGTTTCTAACCTCATCTACACTCATATGCTTGATTCCAGGCACACACCAGTGATGTTCATCTGCAGAGGATCACTCCATATTGCGAGAGAGGAGGGAAACGGAATCCATATCCAGCTGTCAGTCAGCACATCAGCTGCATTATGGGTTCCGTTACCTACCCAGCCGCTGAGGATCATGTCCGACATGCTGCAGCATATAGAAGAAGGGATCTGGTATGCTAAAATACAAATGCTGCTTTTGTATGCAGTATTCTTGAATGTTATACCATGGATGGCCTAGCTGTTGCATAATTCTTCAGGGAACAGTCACTTATAGTTATATAATTTCATGCATAAATTGCAGCAATTAAGCAAATGTGTTCATAATGTACACAGAATTATGCAGCCAGGATTATTAGTTATGCATATATGACACAAAAGGAAATAATTGGACATTTATGCTCACAAATTCTTCAGACTGTTTTATCAGCGGTGGCGTCAGTGTCTTCATGGAAGGAGCAAAAACTTGTTTATTTATCTTGCTTCATCTGCAGTTGGTCAGGAGGCTTGAAAAACCTGTTTCACTATCAGAAAAGAACAGGGGGGGGGGTGCAGTTATTTAAAGTAAAGGCAGACAGATTGTGAGAGAGATTTCAGAGAGAAAGAGAACGAATAAAAGTTTCAGATGAGAAGGAAAAGAAGGAAAAGAGCCATTAAGATGCAGCTTCATTCATGATACATTACTACAGTGGCAACACATTCACTTTGTACACTTTTTGTACATCTAGAGGCAACAGTACATCAAGGAGCATAAGATAGAAGGACAGAAAGTCAAGATGAAAGACTCTTTTGCGCTTTTTCGGACAGGCCTTTCTTACTTTTTCCCCTCAAGTCACCATGTTTGTGCTCTTGTGGGGAGAATAAAAGCAGAAGCTGGAGCAAATTGCAGAGAGATGTGTGTGGGCGTAGTGAAACGAAAGAGAAATACACTCTTGCTGACAAAAAAACTAGAAGAGATAGAAGAATACATCTAAAATCAGAAAAGGTTGTAAAAATGAGCGGTAACGTCGAAAAGGAAGTCCTACTAAGATGCAAATGAGGCAGTTAATATGGTAGAATGAAGGCTTTACCTGTCCAGGCCATTCTCACTTCTCTATCTCTGTCTCTCTGTGTCTCTCGTCCGCGCTCCTGTGTCCGTCGGTGTATGTGTGTATGTGAATGTGAGTGTGTGTGAGTATTTATAAGCGCTCACTTCCTCTTCAGAAATCTGAGAAGTGTTTTCACTTTCACTTCTTCACTGGGCTGCCCACAGACACTCCCACCCCTCGCCCACTCTCCTATCATCCCTCACTTTATGAGCTTAGAAAAATCCTCACACAGACTACTTCATGAGTTTTGGTGACATTTTGTTTCTTTTACAGTTCTAGAAGATACATTGTGACCTGATGTTCAGTGCAGAAGTGTGTCTGTGTACTGAAGTATTGAACTGAATTGAGTTGACTCGAATATAGTACACAATACAATACAACATATTGCAGTATAATGCAATACAACACAGTCCAACACAATAAAATACAATACAGTACAGTAAAAAACATTTACAACACAGTAAAGTTCTATAAAGTACCATCTAATGCACCCAGTGCAATACATTACAATGCAATACAATGTAGTTCAGTACAGAGCTATACAATGCAGTGCAGGACTACACAATACAACACAGTTCAGCGCAATAAAATACAACACATACAATACAACACATACAATACAGCTAAACATAACACAACCTAATAGGCCTCAATGGGCAAATTAACACAATACAAACACTGTACAACCATGTATGCAAACAGTATGTATAATATTCAATAATATGCATGTCATTAAAGTATAATATATTAAATGATATTTATTTTAATGCATTCTTACAATTTATTATCAAAGTTTGTTTTGTACAAGGTACAAAAACCCCACTGTACACCCTCAGACATACTCTTAATTGTTGACCTTGTAGAGTGCACCGACAAAGCCTTAAATGAACTGACAGGGTTGTTTGATTTACCAACTGAAAATATGCCAACATCAAATAAATGAACTGAAAAGCTGATTTTTGTTGAAACTGAATTTTGTTCCCTTTTTTTCGTCGAGGGAATTAAGTGTGCTGACGGAATTGACATGTAATAGTAACAAATAATTAAATTATGCTCATATAATGATGCATTTTAATGTGTTTAACTTGA